TGATTTTCCAGCAATAGCGTTTCTCAGAGACCTGTGGCGTCCCACGTGAGAGAAATGGGGTCCGACTTCCCAGCCTTTTGAGTCATTCTTGGTGATACCAGACTTGAGGGCCCTGGGAACTTGGGAAAAGGGGGCTTGAGTTGAGACTATGGTGGGTCCCTAAAGACAAAGGGAGAGTTTCAGGGCTGGGGGGGGGGGGGGGTCTATGAGTGAGAGAGGGATTAGGAAAATCCAGGATGGGAGTGCCTGTGTGGAGGGAGACGGGTGAGGAAAGTTGCTTTGGAGAGCTGAGAGGGAACCGGCCCATAGAAGGAGGGTTTCTGCAGGACCCTGAGTTGCAAGGGTCACACATGGGAGAGAAATCCAGATAGGAGGCCTAGGGGATGGGGTGCCCCTGGGGACAGAGGCCACAGGAGGAGGATTGCACCAGGGAGTCCCCAAGGGTTCAGGTGAGGTGGGAGAATGGGCCACCTGTTTGCCACAGGGTGTGGGGATGGGCTGATTCTCTGGTCGGGGCCTACCTGCTCCCAACCCAAGAGGCCCTCTGGAGTGGGGAGTGGGGGCCCCTGGCGCCGAAAACTCGCCCAGCCTGGCCCCCAGCCAATCCAGCCCTGGCGGCGTGAGCTCATCTCCCGCCTGAGCCCCGCCTGCTGCCACTCCTTCTCTCCTCCCCTTCCTCCCTCCTTCCTTCACTCCCTCCCTGCCCAGCCCCAAAGCACCCGTGCCAGGCGCCATGCCCAAGCGGGTGCCAAGCCCCTGGAGGCACAAGGAGGGGCATATGAAAGGGGGCTGACCTCGGCAGGACCCCTATGTCCTCAGCTCCTCACTTCTCCAGGGGCGTAGGGGGTGGAGTTGGCCATGCCCATCTAGCAGCCTGTCCTGACATGGGAGCCCTCAGGGAGCTGGGTGGGGGGCCTGCTTTCAGGCCAAGAGAAGGTAGAGAAATGCTCTGAGGCTGGGAAGTGCCCTCCCCCCGCCCCCCAGACTTAGCTTGATTATCACAACCCCCAGCAGAGACCTTTCCTATCCTAGGCCTATTACTAAGGATCCCTATTAGAGCAACCTGGAATCCTGGGCTAGCTCCCCTAACTAGTGGGGCTAGAGTGTCTGCCCTCCGATCCTAAGTCCCATCCCCACCCCCATCAATAAACTAGAGAAAAGCCCCTCCAGTGAAGTTTCCTCCCTCCCATTCTTCTGATGTAATCCCCAAATTGTACCTGTCACCAGTAAATTCTGTAGTATTTCCCCTCCGCTACTGTTCCCCACTCTCCAGAGGCGCCCCAGATTACAAACCCTATACACTGATAACTCCACTTCCTAGCTGAATTCTTTTCCCACAAAAGACTGCCATTTTCTTATATTTCCAATGGAATCCCATCAGAGTCCTAATTGCTATCTTTCCAAGTCCTTCTCTTTCATCTGACCCCCTCTCCAGGAACTTCTGACCCATCTGTCTTCAGAGACCCCAGAGTTAGCCTTGATCAGCTGATTAGGACTCCAGGCACCAGCCATTAAACAAAAGACTTGGGCACCCAATCCCTTGGCTGGGAGGGGAAGGGGGATCGCACAGCATCTTAGAGTCTTCCCAGACTACTGAGGCTCTCATGTGCTGGGGACTCCCAGAAATCCCACTTCTTCTAACGTTTTTCTCAGCACCCTCAAATTGGCCATCCCCTGAGTACCCTTCTCCAGTGCTCCCTAGAAGGCACTAGAGTCCTCTTTTCTAGGTAATTCTCTCCAAAAGGACTTCATGGATTCCTGTTGAATGGGCGCCTCAGATCCTCTGAGCTAGGCTCGTTCCCTTTCCATTCTAGAAAACTTGAGTCTTTGAACCCCAGAGTATTGCCCTTTAGCTGGTC